ACTGCCTGAAACTCCATTCCCGGGGAACTGATGCCCTCTCTCGGCCCCCACAGGCACTTACACACGTGTGTGCCCACATACAAACACAAGTCCATTACAACATATCTAGTAACAAACTAAAATATTTAAACAAAATCAGATGAAAGAGACATGGCAGAGATGTGAAAATAAAATAGAAGAAATATTAAAAATAACAGTGGAAAAAGGGAAATAGAAATTGGAGACATGTCTTTCTGGGGCCCTCTTACATTGGAATCTGCGAGGTCTGGGGAAAGGGCTGGACCCTCCTGTGGCTCCTCTTGCTTCCCACTGAATAGGTGGGAGGTGTCTGTGGACATGAGATCTGGCTGGTGAAAAACACATCACAGGGCCTTACACTAACATTGTATCACTGCACTGCATGTCCACCCCACATCCAAGCAGCAGCCACCACGGCACCACTGAGCTGTATCTCCAGCCCAGCCACTACTGCCCCAAGCAGACCCCCACTTGCTCTCTGGTCTTCTCTTTCCCCAGGTGTGTGTACGCAGTGGCGTTCGATACAAATGTCTAAGTGAAGGGACACATTTCCAGTGTGTCAGAGAGGGAAGCATGAAACAGTTCTGCACTCGACGGGGGAGATTTGAGAGCGTGGGGTTCTCTGCCTGCCTGGCTTAGTGCTTTCAGATTCCATCCAGCAATAAACCACCCAATGGGAGGAATCTAGACATCCAGCAGACCTGGGCTCAGAGCTCAGTGGGCAGCCTGACCCATCACATCATTCATAGCCAGACCCTCCTACTGTCTAAACTTTGAGGTTTGTCTACATTTAATTTTTTCTTTCTACAAGGACCTTTGTCTGGCTACCACTTAGACATGACTACAGGGTGTCCACAGCTTTCCTGACTTGTGATTGCTCCTTATTTCTAGGTCCCCAGAGAAGCTCAGCCTCAACAAGTCTTCTGGAGATGGCTCCTTGCTGTTGTACTCCACAATCTGGGGGCGCTGTGATGGCTGCCTTTTCCAATGCTAGCCTGCAACGGAAAAGTCAGGCACATCATGTTTTTCTGTCTAGAAACTCCAGCCAGCATCACAGGCTGACTGTACCCTCCAGGATGACTCCCTAGCCATGGATTGGACTTCCTGGCTGGGCTTGAAGTTATGGTTTCTTATCTTTCTCCGTGCTTAGGTGTCTGGTCACCTGCTTTTTCCTTCCTTCTCTCCTTGAATTACCACCCCTCCTTTCTTAGCCTGAATCTTCTCACTCATGCAGCTGCATGGGAGAAAGTTGAAGAACACTACCATATCCCTGAACTTGAGGCTTCACTGAATGCTTCTCTGGTTCCAAGAATTATGATGGGTTCTAAGAACTCAATTCCTCTACTGGTGGAAGAGACCAACCTTCCAGAAAACTGCTATGTAATTGCAGAATTTCTGCTGACACCCATAAGCTGTTTCTGTAGATTATAGAAACAATATGCAGACATTTATTCAGATCTGACTTCAGGCTGACTAATTCTAACCAGTCAGTCCAGGAATTCTTGTAGTTCTGATGGATGACTATATCAGCTATTTTCTTATTGCTGTGACCAAATACCTGAGAAAACGTCAATTGAAGGTTTACAGTTCAAGGGGATATGGTCCACCATGATGGGGAACACATGGAGCTTACCCCACCCAAAACAGGCTTTCTCTGTGTAGCTTTGGAACCTGTCCTGAACTCTGTCTGTAGACCAGGCTGACAGTGAACTCAGAGAGATCTGCCTGCCTCTACCTCCTGAGTGCTGGGAATTAAAGGCATGTGCCAATACCGTCCAGCCACATGGAACTTTTAAACCACTGGTCATACTGCTTTTGCAGTTAGAATGGACAGGATGTAGCGCTATTCTCTAGGTTCACCACCAGTGACTCACTTCCTCCAGTGAGACTCTGGGTTCCACAACCCAGGCTGCAGCGATGACTTGGCATTTAGAAGCACGTATTGCTCCTGGAGAGGTCCCATGTTCAGTTCCCAGCATCCAAGCCAGTGGCTCACAACTAAATGCCTGTAATTCCAGCTCCAGGGAATCTAATGCCTCTGGCTTCCAAAGGCTCCTGTAGGGAAGTGCACTTACATAACCCCCACCCATATACATATTAAATAATAAAGATAAATTTAAAAAATCAGTTTTAAGGCTCCACAACCTACTAGTGGAGTGCCACCAGTTAGCGAGCAAGTGCTGAACCACACGAGCATGCAGGGACACGTCCTATTCAAACCACACTGATTCACAACCGAATCATGTCATTTCCTTCACATTGAGGTTATAGCCTAGAGATAGGCTGAGGCTACCCTACCTTGCAAAAGACCAGTTGATTTAATAGTTTGAATTGTGCCTATCGGAGCAATCTTCTCTAAACACCTCCGACATTCAGATACACAGTCCTGAGACTGGGCACTGCCCCAAACCACCCTCACTCCCTGGCGCTCCCCAGTGACAGGGCTGTATCCAACCTTCAATTCTGCTTCTGCCTCTAACCATCTGTTCTACGTCTTCCACAAATGGCTTTAGAGAGTGTGAAAAGATCCACGTTTGCTTCTCTTAGCGAAAAGTTCTCTCTCGGCCAAGTAACTGTACCCCGACACCCTGTCAACTCTAGCACCTAGGACAGTACCTGGCATTAAACCATCACTTCCTCCTGTTCAGAGTATGACCAAACCAAACTACTTATCTAAATGAGTGAATACATACTTTTCTGTTAGCTGTCTTGCAAACTACTTATCTAAATGAGTGAATACATACTTTTCTGTTAGCTGTCTTACTTGCTATCTTCTATTCATTTATGACGTGTGTATATGCATGGAGGTCAGAGGACAGTTCCTAGTAGTCAGTTTTCTCCTTTTACTGTATGGGTCAAAGGAATAGAATTCTGGTCATCAGGTTTGGCAGGAAATACCTTTACCTACTTAGCCTTCACAGCCCCAGTTTGCTTATTCTAAATGTTACTAACGCTAATTTCCAGCTTTTCCTCACCATAGAAACCATTCCTATATAATAACTAAGCATGGTTCTTAAATATTTACAGATCCTTGTCTTTAATCTATGTTTCTATGTAATTCAACCCTGTGTGGTTGGGCTCAGATTCATCTGTCTAAATTTTTTAATTTGCCAGTTTTGTAGCAGCAGACTGCTGAAAGAAAATATCTTTGCTTTTTTCTGCTTCAGGCACTGGCTTGATTGTAGACTTGATGACCTGCTGACCAATCTGCAGATCCTTGGGTAGGGATAGCAGTCATGTTAGATGACAGAAAAGCCAGGTCCTAAGCTCTTGTTCAACATGACTCTACATAGAACAAAAATGAAATGTAAAAAAACCTGCACAAATGAGAACACATGAAAGTGAAGTTCAAGATAAGGCACACGGACATGCACAGACACCACCATCAACAAACAAACAAACAAACAAACAAACAAAAAAACCCCGAGCTGATGCTGCTGCCCTTGGTATTTTTTAAAAAACAAAACAATAAAAGTCTCCTTCAAGTATTCAACAGGGATTTAGTACACTCAGGCACTGTTCTAGGAACTGAGGCCACGACAGTGAACTAGACAGACTACCTTTTCTCATAGAACCTATGTTCTAAAGTGGAAGACACAGTATGAGCTACTCATATATGCTTTGAAAATACCCAAAACATCCACTGAAGCACATTAAAGACAGTGCCTAGAATTCTAATAGTCTACAGCTGCAAACAGCCATCTAATAGATAAATAAATTGTAGCATATCTATACAACAGACTGTTACTTAGGTATAGAAAGGAATGAGCTATTGGTCATGCTACTAAATGGACACATCTTGAAGAGTTATACTAAGAAGCCAGACAGGAGACTACATACTTTTTATTCCATTATAGGAAATATCCAGAAAGGCAAATCCTCAGCAGAACAGGCTAGAGTTGTCAACAGCTTTAAGCAGGAAGGGACTGCATACTGAGTACAGGTTTCTTTCTTTCAAGAATCAGATAGATATGGTTGTGCATTAAACAAATCCAAGTCAGTAATGAAAAGCTTTGTTGTGTACTTCACTACATTAAAACAGTTCCTGGCATATGGCAGCTACTGTATACGCCCCCACCTCCATTTCTACAAATAGGAAATTGCCTGGGTAATGAATCAGCTTAATCAGTGGAAGGGTATATGGTCCTAATGGGCATGAATTTGTTCTGTAAGTGCTAAATAGGAAGATATCTAAGGCATATATAGTGAAGGAATAAACATACTGTAAGCTTGGGCCACATAGTAAGAGCCTATCAAAAAAAAGGGGAGTCATGCTACAAACGTAGCTCAGTTGGTAAGAGTCCTTGCCTAGCATGTACAAGGCTTTGGGGTCAATCTCAGCAGCATATAAAGCAAATCAGGCATGGTGGTACACCATGGGCCTAGAATCCCAGCACTCAGGAGGTGGATGCAGAAGAATCTGGAAACCAAGGTCAACTGTGGTGATATATTATTGGAGCCAGCCTCAAGATATAGAGATCAGGCAGTACACACCTTTAATCCTAGAACTCAGGATTAAGAGGTAGATCTATCTCTATTAGTTCAAGGCCACGCTGACTTACACGAAACAGCTCACACAAAGGTGATCTCAGCACCTGGGATCACACACCTTTAATCCCAGATTAAGGAGGTACATAAGACAGGAGCCGAGTCTCAAAGCTGGCATCCAGAGAGTTAGTCTCTAGCCATGTTGAGGAGAGCATAGCAGTCTGAGTGAATCTGAGGAGCAGTGAGGACGGTCCCTTTGGTCTGAGCAGAGGTAGAGGTAAGAGCTAGTGTCCAGCTGCTGATCTTCAGACTGAAGCTTCAACCCTAATATCTGTCTCTGGATCTTTTATTTATCATGTTACACTCAACTACATAGCAAGTTTGAGTCCAACCTAGAGCAGATAATATCTGCCTAAAAAATAACCACACACACACACACACACACACACACGCATGCCACACATGAGATTAAGATAATACTAAGAAAATCCATCTGAACTCTTAAAAAAATCATTTTATTGACCCTTTACCATACAAAATTTATTCAAATTACATCCATTTGAAGTGGTAAGATCACAGCTAGAACAGGTCACCCTGTAACAAATCTATTTACAAAATCCATCATAAAAGCTTTTTTTTGTTTGTTTGTCTATTTTTACATTATATTACATTATTATTTTTTTTTAACTAGCATACAACACAAAGCTAAACTGATTAGTAGTTTGCGTACTCCCAATGTTGGGAGAAACACTTCCTCTTTACAAAAGCATGTACCCGGTAGGAAAGACCTTCCCACACCCTGCCACCCTACTTCCTCCACAAGGCATCTTCCTTCAGATCCCTTCTCAGACACACAACTTGTCATGCACACACTTGAATTCTTACTTCGTTTTTCCTGAAAGCTAAAGCTTTAAATACTGCAATTCTATTTACAGACAGCTACATGGAGGACAAAAAGGCAAACAAGAGTCACAGGCGCAACAACAAAAAACAAAAAAAAAAAACAAAAACCAAGGCAACAGTCTTAAAAAATTACAAACCAGCTAGAAAATATTCTGGCAGTGTTTACAAATGAATTGCTATCTCTGTACAAAACTGGTAAATAATGGCAATGTAAGCGGACTGTATCGACTTAAATAAAACTGCTATGTACACAAACACACGCCTAACACTGTTTGACAGCTCATGTGTTGCCCTTTATACAGTTTAATTCTCTGAGGCTCATGCCGTCATCATTTGCACACTTGTAACGTTCAGCCATTCCGCATGTGAGCTTTTAGTAGCAGCAACTTAATGGTACCAGGGAACCTGCATTCTCAGGACTTAAAGTAACAAAAATACTGTAGTACTCACCTACTTTGTGTGCCAGATATTATGAGCAAAGAAAATGCAAACAGAAGATAGTATGGATGTCTCATCTACGTACGCCCGTTAAGCCCATTAACTGGAAAAGTCTTATTATGCATGAAAGAACTCTTGAAGACTTACTCATTAGTATTCCTTTCATTTCTTAAAACAATAAATATGGTATTACAATACGAATAGTTTCAACAAGAAAAGTCAACCAAACACACAACAACCTAGAGCCAGGTGAGTTTAGTCATTAGACTTTGGGGAAAGAAACCCAGCTCTACAAAGCTGGCAAAGAGAATTACACAAAGCCAGAAGCAGAGGCAGCTAACCAGATGAGATAAATATAGGACATGGGGGAAAGCTTGGCATAAATGGTTTCCCATACAGGAAAAAACCCCACAGTGCATTTCCAGTAGGCACTTAACACGAAGCTCCCCCTCCCTCCTCCACCCCAGTGCTTCAGCTCGGACCACACGGATTATTCTGTACCAAGTCCAGAGTGTGTGAGGGGAGGAGGCCGGGGCTGGAGGCTGAAGAAGAGAGAGGAAGATAGTCTGCACCTTTGATTTTTCTTCCCAAACATACACCACGCATACCCACACACAGAGTTTAAAGTGCCGGTGTCTTCTGTCTCCACCCCCACCACCACTTTGCATATTGTGGAAATCTATCTAGAGTAAACTGGCCAGGGTTCTTGTGGTTTAGTAAAATGTTTTCCCAAGGGATATTTTCAACTCGGTTAAATGTGTATGAGTTGAGTGCCTACTACGTGCCTCCCCGGTGGGCCAGGCGCATAGCATTTCAAATTGTTCAGCTGGAGGTTAGTTTTCAAGACTAACATATTTCCACAGCCCTTAGCATCCAAGGAATGGATTTGAGGTACTATGCCATATTCAACACCAGGACATGATGGCCACTGCCACCTACCAGTGGGAACCCTATTCTTGGAAGTAACTGGAAGGATCGTAGGTGACACAAAGCCTCTAGTTTGGGACACCATTCCTGAGGAGTAACGAGGGAGTTGGCCTGGCATTCTATCGCTGCATTTCCTATCTCCCACCTTCCCTTACCTCAACTCACCCACTCACAGTAGGAGGAGTGAATGGGTTCTGGCCAGTACTAGTCTATCCCCTGACACAATGGGAGCTCCTCATTCCAACTTAAGGAAGTATCCCTGATAGAATGCCATTCACACAATGGGATGTCTTTCTCCCTAGGGCCTCTCCACCTGACCCATCCTGAGAAGTGGTCTCCCTGAGTGTGGCATCAGAGCCCTTTCCCCGGTCGCAGGGGCCCGGGAAGCCCAAGGATGGAGGGATCCATGCCTGCTGCTCCATGGGACAGCTGTATCATCTGGCCCGAGGTCCTCACTACGGGCCACTCGAGCCAGTGAGCTCTAGAGCTGTTCTTGCTCCAAGCTCCCCTCCTGGGAAAGGAAGCAAGACAGAGGATGGTTCTTGTAGAGGCTGGTGGACCTTAGGTCACACAGGTTTAGATGCTTTGATCAGTAGAGGTTCTCTCCCTCTGCTAAAGGAATAGGAATTTGCAAAAATCACTTTAAGGTAAACAATTCAATTGAAATGGTTGATGGGTGCCACAGGAATGCTTCAATGGCAGCTAGAAAAATAAAAATTCTAAAACAACCCACAAGGAACTCCTAAGTTGCAAGTAATCAACCGGAAACTCACAAACACGAAGGATGGGGGAAGTGGTAGTGGGTGGGGTATGGAGACAGGAAAATCCACAACAGCTTCGAGCAGCAGAACTCTACTAGTCTCTGTATCTGCAAGGAGTACTCACAAACAAGTTCTTCATCCAAAAGGCTGTGGAGGCTCTTGCAGCCTCCTAGTGGGACACACGGCCCATAGCTTACACTGAATTATGAAAGTAATTTAAATATTCCTAAGAGCTGAAGAAATCCGTGTCATTCCTTTGCATGACTTCAAGCTTGCATTTGTGGCAGAATTCCATTCCATGTTAGCAGACTCACAAAGACATGCATTCTGCAGAGAAGGCACGGCTTGAAATGCTGTTAAGGGAGAGTGCTGTTTTCCAGTGGGCCAGGTGGCCAGACCCCATTCAACAGCCCATCCATTAGGCACAGCAAGCCAGTCCGCAAGGAAAGGAGAGGAAGAGGGGAGAAAAGGACAGGTGAGAGACACCTGATTGCACATCTTCTCACTTGCTGACTCATCAGGAAGATTTTGGAGCCTGGGACCAGGCAGGGCTTTCCCAAGGGAGCCTGCAACTGTGCGTTTAGGAAAAAAAAATTAATAATTCATCAAAATGTCAGCTTTGTTCTGAAGTTTACTTCATGATACTCTTGGAGGAAGAAGGTAGGAAGGGACAACACTGCGATACACGTTCTGATTCCGTGATAAAAAAATATTGGTTTATAAGGACAGTTTGTACAATCAACTACACATGAAGTCCTCCACGAGGGGCAGCTTTTCCAAATCATATGCATCAAAGAGGTCGCTGATGCCCTCTTCCTCCCCCAGGCTCAGCAGATAGTCCTCTTGGAGTAGGGGAGGCAGTAAGTTCACAAAGGGTCCTTCAAGGTTGGAAGGAATTTGGTCCTCAGTCTGCTGTAAAAGGTTGGCTGGGGAGGCCAGAGGAGAGAGGTTTGCTGTGGAAACTGAGCAGTCGCTATGTCCTGAGTTGTTAGAGGCCAAGTCTGAAAGAGGAAAAAAAGGGGGTGGGCATGGTTAGGAGAAATTTTAAAAACCACCTTTCCTGGATTAATACGGATGTTGCTGCCCCTTAGCTCAATGTGGTGACCTGAGGACACAGATCACCATTGGCTAACAGGCATAAAGAACGCATCGCCTCGCTTTGTCCTAGTTTATTCATCTGTAATTTTTGGGGGGCTGTTTGTGGATCATCACACTGGGGAGGAAGACGAGGACAAGATTCTATGATTTTTCTCTTCAAGCTCTTTTCATTTCCGTCCCTAATGATTTCAGAAGCATCACTTTCGATAGATGTCTAGTCAAGCACAGTGGATAACTCAAGACTGCCTATAGCCTCAATTCTCACTCTAGCCATTGTCCAATACACCAGGGCAACAGTTTTCTGCTTACAAGAGCCTGAAGTGTCTTTATCAGGGATGAGGGACCATTTTGACTAAGATCGTTATTTTAGTCTATAAACTAGTAATAATACCTTAAAAACTGTCCTCATAACAGAAGCTTCTCTTCTTTGATTCCCTCTATACAGCACAGGCTTTAACAGCTGCAGCTCACCCCATGTGCCAACTGGTGAATATCCAGGACCCAGCAGCAAGTTCAACATGGACTTGGAGCCTCTTTCTGACTCCAATAGGGCAAGCATGTCACCTTCACATACAGGGCCTTTAACATGGTGAAGGATGGAACAGCTAGTGTTGTCCATGAATTCCAGGCCCACCTTTGGGCAGTGACCCAGTGAATAATCCTGCCCAACACTTTGGTTATTCTGGCCAGTTTCATTCCCGTTCGTAATGGCAGTGATCGGGTGGACCCAAGCATTTTGTTATGACTTTAGTTGAGTGTCTGAAAGAGGATCCTTCTAGATACCTTCATTTTTAAACATTACTTTTCAAAGACAATAGTGAAATATTTACCTTTGGAAGTGGGCTTAGGGATATTCCCATTGTGGTCTTGGTTGTTTGTTTTCATGGGTCTGTGTGTTTCTGTCTCTTCTGGACACAAGTAAACCTCAATGGGCCCTTGGGTACTTGCCAAATGGATTTGTAGGCTCTAGGAACACAAGTAAGAGGTCAACTCAAGGTCACTTAGAAATGAAAATCAAAACATTTCTCTGCTAAAACTGAAATGGAAGGGCAATATTCATTGCTCCCTTTGCTCCCTCACTCCTAGTTTGCTAGCGATGACACTCTTCTAGAGCCAGGGGTCAACAAATTCCTACAGCCTGAGGACCAAATCCAAGGCATCAACTATCTTTGTAAATCAAGTTTTACTGGGACAGAGTTTTTGGCCAGTCTCATCCTATATAATGCCTCTGGTTGTTTTGTTTTGCTTTTAACAAAGAGTTTACTACTTGAATAATCGAAGAAACTATTCAAAGACAACTCTTATGTGGCACTTAAAAAAGGTTTGATTGCTGCCGCAAAGAAATCATTTTGGGGGGGTAGTCTAGGTATCTTTAGATATATTATTTTCCCTCAAATTATTTAAATGTCTGTTGAGCATTTGAAAGAACCTATTTTCATTAAACTACTCCCTCATGGTAAAACATTCTAATGTTAAACTTTAATAACCAACTCATAAACAGCATTCTAAAGTGCCAGGAGCTTCAGTGACTAAGAGAATAAAGCATATTGATTTTATAAATACTTTCACTTACTTATTTTAAAATAATTTGTTGCTTGTACTCATTTATTTTTATGTATGTGAGTGTTTTGCCTACATGTATTCTATGCATCAGCATGCATGCTTGCTGGTACTCTGGGAGGTCAGAGAAGGGCATTGGATCCTCTGGGAATAGAATTACAGATGGTTGTGAGCTGCCACGTAGGTGCTGGGAAACAAACCCAGGTCCTCTGGAGGAGCAGCCAGTGCTCTTAACCACCAAGCCCGAGATTTGTGTTTTAATTTTATTACTTTTATTATTTTATGCCTTTGCATGTTTTGCCTGCATGAATGCATGTGCACGCCTGGTGCCTGATGAGGTGTTATAGATGGTTGCAAACTGCCACCTGGCTGTCAGGAACTGAAGCAGGGTATTTAAAGGTATGCTTTTGTGTCTGTGTGTAGTTGTGTAGCTTCTTGTGTGTAGTTGATTGCCAGAGTCTACAAGCAGACATTGCACCCCCTGTAGCTGCAGTTACGGGACCTTCTATGTAAGTGCTGGGAACAGAACCTGGATCCTCTGGAAGAGTAGCCTGTGCTGCAGACACCGAGCCATCTCATCTCTCCAGCTCTGTATAGGAATATTTAGAGGACTTCCTCATTGAGGCCACAACATTATAATTTCTGAGAAGCTTACCTTGTAAATTTAATATTTTAGGTATTATCTTTTAATATGCCAGGTATTTTCTTTTTATCATATTCCTTTATCTTATAATTACAGTCTAGGCTGACTTTATCAAAGAACACCTGAAAGCAATTAGAAAAATGCCTGCTCTACTTTCTTACAATATTCTTGTCTATTGATTACCCCAAGGTCCCATTTAATTTTCTCAAAGTAAACATGCTACAAATGATTTTTAAGAAATCTTAAAATGTGCTAAGTCAGGGAGCAACTTCTAAAACCCTTGGAGCTCTATTCATGGTGGGGACTGTCCGTACACAAAGTAATCAACATAAAATTTCTCAAGTGGTTCAAATTGATCAGAACCACCACACAACAAATTGTAAAAAAGAGAGGCAGGGCATCAAAGACTATTGTGACCAGAATGCCCTTCTAAATTGAAATCAGACATTTGGGCATTTAAGAAACAGGGAACTGTTGAATCTGTTTCAATTTTGGGTTAATCAAAATAAATGGGAAAGAACTGTCCAGTGCTTGGGAGGATGCAGACTTTAAGCACCATTCAGTGATTCTTCAAGTTCAGGTGTTCTGGAATGTTCTCTGCAAATGGACCGAGTTGCTGTCTCCTTACCTCTATTGAATCAGGCACTTCAAGTCTTGTTTCTGGAGGGGCTTTCACAACTATAACAGTTTGGTCTTTAAGGCCACTAATTTTTCGAATATCTTGATATGTAACATAAGCTAACGTAAGAAGTGTTAAGGAAATCTTCCATTTAATTGCCACAGACATAGCCATCATGAAAATGACAAAACCGAGCTCCCCGCTCCTGACAACGTCCCTGGTATGCCACAGGATGACAAGAGTAAGGTAAATACACCTTCTTCTCCACCCCTCACCATCTGCAACAGGCAGAAGAGCCGACCCTGGGGGCATGAGAACTGAAGAGCTGTCCTAACCCTCACCAAGCGCAGCAATCTAGTGAGGAGGCCCTGTACCTCGCCTGGGCAAGACAGTAGAGTTGGCCCTGGTGGTGTGAGTGCAGGTGAATCGGACTTGAGGAAGTGACAGCAGAATTGTTCTGGCTCCTTGCTGTCTGTTACAGCGGGTGAGCTAGCTGCAGAAATGCTGGAGAAATCACCTGGCTGGTGGTGATGAGAGAAAGCTGGTGGCTTGACCAACCTAGCTACCCCCAATCCTAGAACAAGGACTACAAGATAGCCTATGCCAACATCCACCTCAGCAATGAACTGCTGGGGCATGGGAAGGTACCAGACTTGTAGATCCAACGCTGCAGGATCTCCATGATGCAAGGCAACAAGATGTCTGAGAGAAGGCCCAGCGAGAACCCAGTGTCGAGGGTGCAGCAGAACCCAGCAGCCTCGAACCAGACCAACAACTCACTGCAACACTTACAAGTAAAGATGTATGGATTAAAGGGCATATGCACTGTGTGACTAACTGGGCCACATTACATTACAGCTTCCCTGCTAAAACTCCTGCTTGTTTGTTTTTTGGATTCACTTTTACATTTTGTTTTTGTGTGTGTGTTGGGGGAGGAAGTTGTCAGGACAGAGGGTAGAAGCGAGGGGTCAGGGAGATGAATGACACTGGGATGCATGATGTGAAATCCACAAATAGTTAACAAGTTAAAAAAATTAAAAAGAAAACAGCAAAACAGATACAGAAAAAATATCCATTATTTTATGAATTAAAAGATTAGGTATGTCTTCCCTTTTGCACTGTCAAACAAATGGGATCCCCCATGGATCTTCTGGTTGATATTCTCAAGGGGAAAAAACAAATCTATACTTTTATCTTGCCAATCTTGTGTACTAATATTCCATGAATTCCAGTGAAGTGCCCTGTCAATTAAACTGATTGACAGATGGTCCCAATTTGGGGGGGGGTGGGAGGAAGATAGTAAGATTTAGTAATCAAAAAATTTTGAGACAGCAGCTACTTCTGCTTGCTATTAGCAAGTGTCAGCCACCAAATGAATGACTAAATAGCAAATACATTGGAGGAAGGACGGAATCTACAGCTCAGCCACCAAATGAATGACTAAATAGCAAATACATTGGAGGAAGGACGGAATCTACAGCTCAGCCAGACATCATGTTTACTCAAGTGCACCTGGGCTGCTGTGATTACATATTGCCTAGACATCGTAGCATCATTATTTCTGTTAGAAAAATTACCCTTGTTAGTATTAACACTATGAACATTTCAGGTTCCCAAGGAGGTGAGCAACTCCCAGGTGCTCTGCAACTGAATGAATTTGAGATACTGTGACTTAGTGGACGAGAATAAATTAACATTTCATGCATCTTGGTAGTTACTTCTAAGTACTGAACAATTCCTTTAAGTGTCCTGGAAGTCACGCCTAAAAGGATATCGTGAAAGAGCATGATACTTACTATAGGACAAAAGCATTCACACAAACTCAGCTAGAAGACAGACATTTACAGCAGAAACAGACTCAAAGCTTTCTCTTGATAAGGGATATGCAGGAACACATGTAATGGAACATGTGTTTTTAGTCAATTAAAAAAATACTTTTTATTATTATTAAATGTGATAGTCGGCTGACAACTTCTGAATGAGGTTCTCTCCTTCTAGCATGGATTTCACAGATCAAACTCAGGCCACCAGTCAGACTGTGTAGCAAGCACTTTTAATCATTGAGAGACATCTTACTAGCCCATTAGTGACCTTACTTTTTTTTTAAAGACTTGTATTTGACTATATATGGGTTTGTGCCAGTGTGCATGCCTGATGTCTGTGGAAGTCAGAACTTTTATATTTATTTATTTATTTGGGAAACATAGGCTCTCACTATGTGGCCTTGGATGGCCTCAAACTCAAGAGACCTGCATTCCTCTGCCTCCTGAGTGCTGGACTTAAAGGTGTGTGCTATTAGTCAGGTTTTAAAATATGAATAGACATAGACAGACAGACAGACACTCACGTTTACCTGTACCACAGACTGTCTTTTCCAAATCTCAACAGTTAAGACAGGAGTAAGTATGATGCTCTTAGAAGATCCTAGGCTTTAGGTCATCATTAGCTTATCAAGAAAGCCAAAGAGGCCTTTTGGGAACACTGGATGGTCCTGTGTTTTTTTTTGTTTTGTTTTGTTTGTTTGTTTTGTTGAGAATACAGAGCCCACTATCAAAAAGCTATGTGACAAGAGGTTACTAAAATAAAACTCATCTACAATTATCCAACGAGCTGTAGGAAGGAAAATTTCCACACATCTGTGAACAAGCTGTTGCAGACTGAGAACTGAATGGAAGACTGAGATAAATTTCCTAAGTGTATTTTCTAATCTTACAAAGTTAGAAGTGCTTCTGATGTGGCTCCTTCCCAAATCTGTTCTTGGGTTAGTGGTCCCCTTCAAGGGAACTTTTTTTTTGTAGAAAAGACCTCAGAGAAAGTCAAAAGGAATGACAAGGCTGTAAGCCACATGTTCAGAACAACCGTCAATCACGTGTAACATGGCTTTAAAATGATGGAGTTCCAGCTAAACAATGAATTAAATAGACCTACTAATGATTTCTTTTACAAACTGTGCTTCTATCTGTTCATTTAGTATGTGAATGAGTGGGTATGTGTGCCACAGTGCATGTGACTGTTGCGTTCTGAGGACAGGACAACTTGCAAGAATCAGTTCTCTTCTTCTACCAGGGATTGAACTCAGGTCTTCAGGCTTGGAGACAAGTTCCTTTACCTATTGAACCATCCTATTCATTCATTTATTTAAAGACAGAGTCTTCATTGTGCAGTCCCAGATGGCCTGCACCTTGCTATGTAGAACAGGTTGGCCTCAAACTCACAAAGATCTGCCTGCCTGCCTCTGCCTTCTGAATGCTGGAGGGCAATACCACACCAAGCTCTTTTTAGTCTTAAAATTTTATTTAATTTTTTGAGAAAAGGGACAGGATATACTCACTATGTAGTTTTAGCTGGTTATTCAGACAGGGCTGTTCTAAACTTCATCTGCTTCTGTCTCCCAAATGCTGGCATTAAAGGCAAGATCTCATGTAGACCAGGCTGGCCTCAAACTGTCTAGGTAGACATGGACAACCTTGGATACTTAGATCTCTCTGCCTTGTTTGAGACAGGATCCCATACACCTCAGACTAACTATAAACTTTTGATGGTGCTCAGGCTGGCTTTGAACTCCTGATAATTCTTTGTCTTTCAAATATTGATATCACAACTTTTCTGCTGTTTTTCTCCAAGACAGGGTCTTGCTATTGAAGCCAGGGTGGCTGTGAACTCCGGACTCAGTCCCTCCGCTGCCACCACACCCAGCTACAATATACTTTTCTATTCTCAACCATAGCCCAATCCGATAGATTCAGAAAATTCCAATTGCTACAAGGTCTGATGAAAAGAAAATAGAAAGCGAGAACCCCAACAGTGACAGCTCACACCCACCAAAAATCTGGGAAGCCAAAGACAAACCTGCCTAGTGTAGTCATTAATATTAATAATATTAATATTGACACCTTCCGTTATAGTGGGTTCTTACAATGTGAGAGTATCTGTATGTTCCAACCACACATGAATAAAATGTTCTAAAAAAGCCAGTTGTCACCTGGCTTTCAACACCAATAAGGATATCATATAGTCCACAGGTACCTTATCAAAGACACTGGCCTTTGAGACAAAGCTAAGTGGACAAACACGCACGCACACGCACACACACACACACACACACACACACACACACACACACACTAGTTGTTTGCATGATGCCAGAATAACATTAATCTACCCCATGAACAAGTTAGTCTGTAGACTCTGGACACAGTACAGAGGGCTCTAACCACCAGAGGCACAAAGGATATCTTTGATTCTCTGAATCCTCGGTTAACAGTTTGAGGTCCAGGGTACAGCTTTGGATCAGCTCATCTAATTTCTTCTCTTCCTGACTGAGCTCGGTCACTTCTTTGGACAGGCCTTGACACTGGGCCAGCATGCCCCCATCCTCAGACAGACTGCAGCCCCTGGAACCCAAACACAGATTCTTTATGGAGCTTAACAGGAGCTAAAGGGTGGAAAAAAAAAATCAGTGGGGTTAACAATTTCCCTCCCGCATGTCATGGAAGGGCATGTTGATTGTTAGCCACGTGTCAGAGTAGAGCTTCATAAACACATTTGTCATAAGTATGGTCATGCACCTTTCACACACTAAAGAAATCAGGTGAAAACAGTAATTTTCAGGGTCCTTTTCTTAAGAAGGAAAAAAAAGTCTGTTCAGATGTCTTCAATTCTGAGGACAAAAAGTCAGCCACCTGGTTACCACCGCCACCACCACACCACCACCTAATCCACATATCCCTGGGGGCAAACCAAACAGGTGTGTCAGACATCTGCAAGAACAAAGACTAGCAGCCGTCAGGTTTCTCTAAGGCATAGGTTAAAGAGAGTCTCTGAGCTGTCCACAATTCCAGACACACACTGTTCATTCTAGAAAACCCCTCAATTTTTTTTTTAAACACTGGGGATTGAACTCAGGGCTTTCTTTAATGCAGGCTAGGCAAGTGCTCTAACACTAAGTTACATCCTTAGCACTCAACTGGTTTTAGACAGTTTCTTTTCATTTATTCCAATTACATGGATACACCACACCACGTAGAGAGTATGGAGGCTGGGGACAACTCTGCAGAGTTGATTCTCTCCTATCTTAACGTACCTATGTTTCAGGGATTGAATCTAGGTTGTCAGACTTTTGAGGCAACCTTTACTGGCTGAGCCATTGTGCCAATCCTTAAATTATATGTTTTTCAAATATCTCGAACAGTTTTGATCTTTTTAGTATGATTTCATAGTTCAGCACTGTACTTATAAAATGCCTGGCTCTGTCCAGGATTCACAGATGACATTATTATGCAGAATTAGACATACTGGGACACATGTCTCTGCAGCAGAAACCCAGACACTGCAGTCTTGCCTTCATTGACAGAGAAAGTGTGTTAATCTATTAGAACAGGGGTGAATCTATGCTGTGACCATGTTAGCTCATATTCATCCACAGATGACCAAATAAAAGACTTTTATTTTGTGTGTGTGATAGGGCTTCATGTATCCTGGGCTGGCCTTGAACTCTCTACATACTAGAAGACGATCTTGAACTCTGGTTGCCGGTATTGGACACCACACTCAATTTATGTGGAGCCGGAGATTGACTCCAGGCTTCATCCTTCTAGACAAGCACTCTACCAACTGAACTCCATCCTCAGCCCTGACTTCCTACATAAAACTGAGGGGGGAACAGGAAGCTGGGAGAGAGGATGGGAAGGAGGGAGGGAGGAGTAAGTAGGAGAGGAAGGGAGGAGATGTTTGGATCTGAATGTGGAAGCTGAAATTAGGAGAAACCGAGGCAGCCACAAAGGCTCCCTGGTGCCGGGGCGACAGTGGGCTCCTACTCACATCCACTGGACGTTGTTCTTAGACTTCTTCTTAATGAGGTGGATGCCTTCCAGCACGTTGGTGATGTCGTAAATCCTCCTCTTCTGCACTTTGAGCACCTCTGCTGCCTTGTTCAGATCCAGGACCCCATCAGGTGACTGGCTCAGGAGCTGAATGAACTTCTTGGTGAGCAGACCGAGTGACGTATCATACCGCGTTTTTTCTGAGGGAGATTTTGGAGCTTAAAGAAAAACAAAAACCGAACGGGTGGGGGACAGGGGGAAAGGTAAAGAAATGAAGGGTTTCTTCGCAGCTAAGCAAGCCCTCTTTCCCAAGGCAGCCAGATTAGTACCTGAAGCAAAGCTGGTGTTGTCTGGGGTGAGTTATAAAAGCTATGAGACTGCTTTATCAGAAAAGGAAGAGACAATAAAGACTTCCTATGTTGGGTGATAACATTTCCTTACCCTATTTTCTGAGTCTCATGAAATACCTCACACATAGGTGTTCAAAAGTATCTGCTGAATGGATGAAACAGTGCTGTGTCTTCGGGGAATCTCACTTAAGAAGCCTAAGCTAGCTAGGCGTTGGTGGTGCACACCTTTAATCCCAGCACTCGGGAGGCAGAGGCAGGGGGATTTCTGTGAGTTCGAGACCAACCTGGTCTACTGAGCAAGTTCCAGGACAGGCGCTCCAAAACAATACAGAGAAACCCTGTCTCGAAAAACCAAAAAAAAAAAACCAAAAAAAAAAAAAAAAAAAAAAAAGAAAAGAAAGAAAGAAAGGGGAAAAAAAAAAAAACCTAACAGAACCAGGTCATCACTTCGTCCTGTAAAAAGGGGTCTCAAACAGATTTGACTTCACTGGCCGTTCAGGCACTAGGGAGTTATCACCTGTGAGTCTGCCTTATTTTGATAAGCAATACCTCAAAAAGTTCAAGTTCTCTCCCCTCTTAAATGAAATGTCATCATTTAGTATTGTGTTATTCTCCTGTTGGAGCTCAGGGTGAGGTTCAGCCCTTATACATACTCTGTGGATATGTAATTGTGAAGCTACAGGGAAAGAAGAACCAAGTCTAACTTAACTTTTGCATTAAGTGCAGAAATAGGAAATAGTCGGGCATTTGTGATATATTCCTTTCTCTCTCAAATGACATCACAGTATTCATGGAGGCCGAAATTCTGTGATTTATTGGGTGCAACTACTTCTGTCCTTTCCTTTTTTCCTCCTTCCTAAGATAAGGTATCTTGTATCACAGGTTGGCTTTGAACTCATGTAGTTGAGGATAACCTTGAACTCATGATCCTTCCACTTCCAATTCCCAAATGCTGGGAGTATAGGTGTGTGTTACCACTCAGTTTATGTGATTCTGGGGATTGAACCCAGGTCTCATCATGCTAGGCAAGGACTCCACTGACTAAACCTTCTTAGTTCCTAAGCTACTGTGCGATGAGCTAGAGAATGAGGCTGGCAGTCCCATCACTTAACCCACCACGTCTGTCTCCACCCTTCCTGCTCTCTTAAGTCACGTCCATTAAAGGGAGTGAAAATTAAACATGACTAGTTCAAAATGCAAATGCATTCAGGTACTGGAGTGACTATCGCTTTTTGCTAGGTGCCAGGAGACACTGTATTTACTTTTTTGGATAGGCACAGAAAGAAATAAAGAAAACATGCCAAAATTATTCACACCTTGGCATTCTTCCAGCCACAAGCTTTGCAAGTTGGGAGTCCCACACCAAGGAGCATAGGGAAACAGATAAAAACATCCTTACTTTTTGGACTATCAGGACTCCGCAGTGCAGCTCTTCCTTTGCCCTTGGGGGTTTTTAGACCATCTGAGAGGTACTGATGGCCACTCTCACCCAGCTCCAGCCTTCGCTTTGCCTGCAATCGGAAAGTGAGATAGATAACTGTCATCCACTGGTCCTGTTTGTGCCCTCCTTCTCCTCCTCTATCCCATCCTGTGGCTTCTCATGCCTCACAGTTGGGGTCTTACTCAGAAGGCCAACCTGTCATGCAAACTCCCTTCCCCTGCAGTGATCACATACCCACATTTGGATGGGCAAACAAAGAGACTTTTCAGCCATGGCCTAATCATTTATTTACTGACTAACTTATGTGCCAAGCACAGAGCTGGCTCCTAAGAACATCTCATGCGTTATGGAACATAAGCTCATATTCGTGTTTCCCAATCTGACTTGGTTGGACACTTGTCTTTGTGTTCCTCAGACACTGTTTACTTATATCCTAACAGTTATTGGTTACTTATCCACCTCTCATTTCCTTTAAGACAGACACTTCTCCTTTATCTTTGTATCCTAGAGCTTGGCAAAGAGCCTAGGTCTGTAGGTTTTCAATCACTCTATATATGTTCATCAAATGAGTGATTTAGAGGATCACAACTAGCTACAGGCTACAAATGGCCCTTCATCAGAAAAATAAACATTGCAAATCAAGAGCTACAACCAATAGTACTTTTCATTAAATCTGACCAAGTGAGAAGGCATCACACACACTTTTATCTTTCACTTCACTTAATATCTGTCTAACATCTTCTACACATTGAGAACTACAGTTAGGAACCCCTGTAAGCAAGATGGATGAGAATGTCTTCCTTCCCAGGGTGCAGAGACAGAAGACAAGACAGAAGACTAAGTGCTGGAGAGATGGGTGCTTAAAGCAAGCTGTCTCTAACTAGACACCCAACTGGACAATGTGTACCCAGCTCCCTTTAAGGTAGTTTCTTCTAGTGAGATTTGCAACTTCAGGTTAGTTAACTGCCTACTGTGGAATACTGGTTTAAGATGTGTTACATTCGCTTATGCCATGGAATATTTGTTTAATGATGCAAAGACATGTTGCATTCTTCTATGTTGCCTTTAATTCTGTAAAGCTGAGTTACTTTGCCTGCCTAAACCACCTGATTGGTCTATTAAAGAGCTGAATAGTTAATAGCTAGGCAGGAAAGGTATAGGTGGAGCTGCCAGGCAGAGAGAATAAATAGGAGAAATCTAGGCTGGGGGAGGGGGGGTAGAGGGGAAGAGCTAGGATCAAGAAAAGGAGAATGATGCCGGGGGTATCAGCCACTCAGTCACCTACAGAGTAAGAAGGAAAGAAAGATAAAAAGCCTAGAGGCAAAGCATAGGTAAAAAGAAACAGGATAATTTAAGCTAGAAAAGCTGGCTGGAAACTGTAACTGTAATTCTTATTTGATAACTGTTTTGTTGTTGTTGTTGTTGTATATAATCTTATGTTAAAGTTAAAACCATTCTCTTAATTAGACAAAAAAGGGGAAATGCTGTGGTACACTCTTGTACACTGTAAATAACTGTCGGTCAAATTGGTTTAATAAAATGCTGACTGGCCAGTAGCCAGGCAGGAAGTATAGATGGGACAACAAAACTAAGGATGATGGGAAGGAGAAGGGCACAGTGAGGAGTTGCCAGCTATAGAACCCAGCTATAGTCTATGATATGGGAAACAGGCAATGGACTGGAAGATGATGGTTATCTGGCTTGTTAATGAAGTTTCTGGCTAACCTGGTCCACATTAGTAGCCATTGGCCACCAGGTTACCCCAATCTACACACTCTACATACACCCTGGATTGCAAATACATAAAAAAGTAAAATAGCCTGGGAGTTTTTTGTGTATGGAGGTCAGAGGACAACCTCAGTTATTGTTCCTCAGGTGCTATCCATATTGTTTTGTTTTTAAAGATAGACTCTTTTATTGGTATGGAATTTGTGTATTAGGCTAGTCTAGTTAGCCAGTGAGTTCCATGAATCTGCTTGTGTCCATCTCGCTTGTGCTGGTATTACAATACACTCAGGTTACCAGAGCCATGACAAGCTTTGTTACCAATGAAGCTATCTCGTCCAGTCCAACACCTCACTAATTTTGATACTGATTATGCTAAAAAGACATTTTGGCTTTATAAAATACTATCATGTAGCTTGCATGTATGCACACATTATCTTTCTATTGGACAATTCAGCAACTTGCTTTCCTGACTTCATTTGCTGCTCCCAACTCCCCTGTCTAATCCATGCGTGTTGTGTACTTTTTGGTTTTCCTGGTCAACATTTTCCCTCTCTGGATAACCAGCCTTTCCCTCTCAGAGCCTGAGTGCATTTGAACACACCTGGGTTTGTCTAGTTGCTGTGCTGCCCCCTGGCCCACCCTCACAGCAATCAGGTTGCAGGGCATAAGGCCAGAGCTGGACAAGAAAGGGACAACTCTGGAACTACAAGCAACGAGTTGTAGACTTGAAGACAGGGATAGAAAGGAGACTGACTGACTTGGCGCATGTATCAGGATCAAAAGCTAGTCTTCTTCAGACTTTTTTTTTTAGCCAATGAAATCTTTTCATTGAAAGCCCCTTGGGTTGAAACTGAGACTGTGTTATAAGCACCAGTGAAGCCACGATGGGCTGGGATGCAAAAGACAGCTGCAGGGTCCTGGTAGGCTGTAGAATGGTAAGGTGTATGCGTGCTCCAGTGTGCAAATCTCACTAGAAGAGGGGCAGGGTCCTAAGAATGCAGAATGGTAAGGGAGGTGTGTGTGCTTGTGTGTGTGCATGTGCCCTCAAGTGTATGACTTCTTGTGACTATTGGGAAGCTGTTACAGATAGAAAGCTGTACTTTGAAGCTACACCACCTGAAAGGAAGCCACTTTGTTTCAGTCCTGCATCTCTGTAAAAAGCAACCCAAAGAGTTAAGACAACAGTCTCCTCTTCCAAAGCCAAAGCTGGAAGTTTGGGGTGCAGAGCTCCTGGGCCCCAAATCTATGCTATCCTTAATTCAAGATCTATTCTCTGGCCATCAGTCCAGGTATATGTGAATTTTGCCTCATCATCTAGGTCATTTTATTTTGCTTTGAAGCAATGGTCCAAAGAAGCACAAAGTCACAGGCCAGGGAATTCCCAGAGGTATGTTGTTAAGAGACTTTAGTCAAACTTCAGTCACCAGAACTAGTTTCCATATGTGATTCTGGTTACTAAGCATCAACAAAGTAAACCAATTCTAAATAGCAGATGATCTACTAAATGCTAGGTGACACAGCAAAAGGCCTGTGATGTCTGTCTCTTAAGGAAACTGATCCTGAGGCTTAGAGACCTACACTACCAAAAAAACAAGGGGAGGCCATTAATAGCTCCATCAATCATCCCATCCCCACCTAGCTGGCCCCTATCTGCCATCCCTGTTGAAGACACAATGTGCCACAGAAAATGATCACTATATGGTTCCAACTTCTTAACAGGTATTTCTGTTGGGTTATTCTATCCCTTTTCATGAATGGGAGGGCTGAATTAGATTTGAATGGACCGCATGTTTCCTGTAAGTCCCCAATTTGAACATGCCTACAGTAACTGGACCCTTGTGGGCAAAGGCTAAGAATTTTGACTTGTGATAGCACATAGCAAATTCAGTCATATATACTTAGTGAAACAAAAAGCTGGATTAAGTAATGTAGGAGAGCTCTGACATGCAGATGAAAGGCTTCTGCCATCGTTTTTGCTTGCTCACAGTGAGCATCTTGGTGAAAACTGATATGAGACATGAATGTGGTCTCCATTTGTGTCCTGACACACAACAACAAAACTCTATGGATTTTCTAGTGACCTGTCATTGGTGTTAATGAGCTGAAGGATGGAGGTCACCAGAGGACTGGGGCTTACAGTACTTTTGGGTTGCTGTGACAACATACTTGACAGAAATAGTAAGAGAGGAAACGTTTATTTCAGCTCATGGTTTTAGGAATTTTAGTCCATCACAGAGAACAAGGCATGGTGGAGTATATGCCATTTGGAGTGTGGAGGAGGCTAACATCATAACAAACGGGGAAGCAGAGTGGCCAGGACTAGGGACAAGTATACTTTCAAAGACCTAACCCTGGCGACTCACTCCTCTACTTAGGTCCTACCTCCTAAGGTCTCCAGAGTGCCACGACTAACATCCCAGCAGCTGGGAAACAGCATGTAAGACATGGACCGATGGAGAACTGCCAGTCTCTGACCATAACAGGGATTTTAGCCTCAACTTCAATCTTCAGACAGGGAAAGGGTTGAGCTGGTTATCAGTGGCCAATAATTAAACCAATCATGCCTATATCATGAAGCTTCTAAAAGGCCCATGACAATTTAGTTGGTCAGTCAAAAGCATAGGTAAAACAACCTGGGACTTGGGGCTGGCACCGGAAGTAGCATGTCTTGGGGACTGAGCCCTTTAACTTTAGGTAGATGAGATCATGGCAGCCTAAGGCTAGCAAGAGCCATGACATAGACCTTGGTATAATTACTCTGTAAAATCTGAGTGCTTATAGCACACCATGTTAACTACTTTGTACTTAATTATGCTATGTCACTTCAGGATCACTCCATATGGCAGTTGCTATTATCTTCTATGTGACATAAGCAAACTGGAGTTTAAAGCACCTAGTAACATTCTCAAGACCCCAGGGGAAATTGCCTTATAAAAACATTTGAAGAGTCATAGTAAATTTTAGTTTTTATTTCTGTGTATGTGTGTTGGTGCCCACAGAAGCCAGAAGAGGACACTGGATCTTCTGGAGTTACAGGCAGTTGTGAGCCACCTGCTATGGGTGCTGGAAATTGAACTCCAGTCTCCTTCAAGAGGAACAAGAAGTCTTAACTCTGAGCTACTTCTCCAATGCCTTACTTATATATAATTTTAAGAGAAATGAAATGAATAATTTAAAAAATTTGCAATTTCTTTATAAATAGTTCATTGATTTATTTGCTTGCATTTGTACACAAATGTGTGTGCAGGTGTCCTTGGAGGCTAGAAGAGGGCGTTGAAGGCCCTGGAGCTGGAGTAACAGGAAGCCAAACAATGTGGGTGCTAGGAACCACATTCCTCTGGG